TGAGTGTTGCTCCATTGGTTTTGACTGACTGGCTTGTCACCCGAGCCTGACATTTGGGCTGAGAAAGAGTGACTGGATCACAGTCACCCAGCCAGCTTTCATGCCTGAAGCGGGACTAGAACTTGAAGCTACAGGAACCTTGGGGGCAAGTGATCATGCAATATTGGAATTCAACATTATGCAAGCACAAGTAGTAGAACAAAGTCAAACTAGAGTCTTGGACTTTAAGAGAGCTAATTTCAATAAACTTAGAGAGAGTTTGGGAAGAGAGAGAGTATGAGAATCCTCAAGGGGAAAACAACTCAAGGAGCTTGGGAAATTTTGAAAAGTGAGATTATAAAAGCCCAGTCTAGTACAATACCAATGAAGAAGAAAAATAACAGCTCTCAAAAGAAACCAGCATGGCTGCATAAAGAACTCTCTGACAAATTGAAAGACAAAAAGGACAAGTATAAAAAGTGGAAAGAGGGGCAAATAACAAAGGCAGAATATCAGCAAATATTCTGAGCCTTTAAAGATGAAGGAGGGAAAGCTAAGGCTCACAATGAACAAAGGTTTGTGACAAAAGTAAAAAATAACACACACACACACACACACACACACACACACACACACACAAAGAGCTTCTTCTAACATGTTAAAAACAAGAAAAAAGTCAAGGAAACAATTGGTCCATTGGTTGGAGAAAGTGGCAAAAAGATGACAGATATCAAACTGGAAGTGGGTTTTTCTTCAGAGGGATCTGCAGTAGAGTTATAGTCCAGTACAGTTATTCAGAAAGGAGGAAGCCTCCTTACAAACTAATAGGCTATCCCCCCATCCATGTTGCTAAAATTATATTATTTTCCTCTTGACATCACTGCATACAGTTTGTATGGGACATTGTACCCGTATGGCTTCCATTCAAAGAAGAATCCTACACTGTCCTTTCTGGGCGAAGAGCATGAACAATGACATCCTAGAGTTCTTCCTCCTATGGACATGAATGTAGACGTACAGAAGGAGGTGTCCTTATCTGAAGGATGCTGGCAAAGAGATGCCTTATAAGAAGTGCTCACGTAATAAGTATGCCATCTTTTGAAACAACTGAATATTGCATGTAAAATATGGTTGTTTTGATCTTAGGGTGCAATATACCTTTTCCTCCTAATAAATATTTCAATAAAAGAAAGATAACCTTTTTTTTCTTTGTAGTGAAATGCCCTGTTTTAACTTAGCTGTCAACATTTAACATGTTGCCTCTTTTGTGCCAACACCCAGTTTTGTGCATCAGAGGCACAGCCCACTGTCCACATTATGTATCTTAGGTTCTCATTGCCTGCTGTAATCACACATACGATCCCTATAAGTAAATAAGTACATGGATCCATAAAAAGATCATGTGTTTTTCTGCTTAGGAGTAGGCCACTGGGAATTGCCTGTGTTTAGCAAGTCTGGGATCCCTAAAAGTGGTAGCCTTGTTAGGAGAAACATTAGTAAAACTGAATTAAATGGCACTGAATCTTATTTTTTAGTTGTATGGTTTCCAGTACTGTATGTATACATAGTACATAGTACTATTTTCGAAATGAATGGTGCTTTGAAGTCCTTTCTCTGATTCTTTAAAAAAAAAAAGACATTTGAATAAATCTGCAAAAGCAAATGGTGAATACAGGGAACTGTGAGAACATGATAAGAAATTGTATCTAGATCTGGGAAACCAGGTAATCAAATCTTATCATACTAATATATTTCTGTAAGGTATTGGTTTTGTACAAACAGTATGCTAAACAAAATCAGTTGAACTCCTAGTAGATGAATTTTCACAATTAGAATTAAGCTTGCATAAGATTTGTTTTTGTTTTGTGTTGTAGTTTTGCATGATATTATACCCAGCCTATTTGATTAATTTATAGTTTACTGTATTGTGCGTACCCAGAAGGTGGATTAATTGAGACATCACGTTATATCATAACCTAGTTGTGTAGCCAGCAACCTGACCCTCTTAATGCTGGTCTTTTCTATGGTAACAGAACTGTGGCAGAATGGCAGAGTTAGACATAGCCTGCCACCTTACCTCCTAGAATGAAAAAGTTTCAAAAGAGAGGCAGTCACATGAAAGGGGGAGAGTGGGAGTTGAAATGGACTAAGAAGCTGACAAGAAGAAGTTGGAGGAGAGTTGAAATTGTAGAAAGGAAAAGAAGATAAAAGGAGGCTACTAATTACATATGAAATTAGGCAGTCTCAGGTTGCTGAGGAGGTCAAAAGAGGAATTGACATGGGTGTCACCATACAAGGAAGACCCCACACAGCATGGGATTCCACAGGTCTACTCTGTGAAATATGCAAAAGGAAAAAAAAATGACATAAGAAAGATAATCCCTGTGTTGTTAGATGTAAAAAGGTTGTCCGCTAAGTTTTTTCTGGAGTTTTTAATTAATTCTATGGGGAATTTAATAGCAGCTGCATTCTAGACTAGGCACACAGCTTCTTTAACAAAAACAGTAATGTTGCTGGCAGAAAGGTAGTTATTTTCTGGAATGATTATAGAGCAATTAAGTCATAAAATAATTTGCTTCTTCCAAAGGCAGACGCAGAAGGTGAGGAGAACTATAGCTCTATTTTTATGCATTAGTTGAATTGGGTTTGCCGAGATAGCTGAACTGAAAAGTCAGTATGTCAGAGAAACTAAGGTCTTCCTACTCTTGATATCCTCAGAATAAAGAAAAGAAATTGGAATGGTTCACAGGGAACAAGTTCGCATGTTGTGTCTTGTCTGATCAATCCTGAGATTGCACAACAAGAATAGTTCTTGTCATTTTCTCTCCAGCCTTATAAAGAGACATTTTAAGCAGATAAGTCTTGTATAGCTGTGCTCTCTATGTCCAATGAATGGTATAGTGCAGGGGTGTCAAACTCAATTTCATTCAGGGCCGCATTAGGATGTCATTGACGTCGGGGGGGAGGGGGGCATTGTCAACTGGATGGACGTGGCCATATTGATGCCACTCCCCAAACTGCTGGCATTTTTCCGCTTTGCATTGGGTAGACCGGGCCGAAGCCACACTGGCCTGATGTTTCCTCTTCACATTGGGTAGACTAGGCCGAAGCCACGCTGGCCTGATGTTTCCTCTTCACATTGGGTAGACTAGGCCGAAGCCACGCTGGCCTGATGTTTCCTCTTCACATTGGGTAGATTGAGCCGAAGTGATGCGGGTAGACAGGGCTGAAGAGACACGGGCTGGCCCCTTACATTTTCCAGAACAGCTCCATGGGCCGGATCCGGCCCACAGGCCTTGAGTTTGACACCCCTGGTATAGTGCAATTTTCCCAATTTGGTACATTCTAGTATATTTGTACAATTTGCATTATCCCTAGGTAGCATGCTGGCTTGGAGGGTATGGTGGAGTTTTTAGTTCTTCACAACACAATGGCACACAATGGAAGGTCATTATTCTAGCTATAAGTAGGACAACCACAATAATGTTGGCTTCTCAGATGGATCTGATTTGCTAAAATAAGACTTGATCCAAATGTGGCAACATAATACATTCTGCACATATGTAGCCGTAACACAGTGAACCTTGGAATTATCAGCTCCTCTCTAAGGTTGTACAAAAGTGAAAAAAAAAGAAAAAGAAAAGGATGAGCAGTAATTAGTCTTACCCCTTTTGTTTCTCATTATCATAAAGGCATTTAGTGGGTTTGCGTAGGCTTATTATACTGTTGAGTATGAAAATTCAGGGAGGTAGGAAAAAAATGCATGATTTTGTTTAAAAAGAACAAGTTGAATTTTTGTTTGAGAAAAACAAGAAAAACACCAGGAGCCATGGAAATTAAGCAGTGTAAGATGGCTAAGCGATAAGAATCCTTCTCCATTCCTAACAATTTTTTTTAAAAAACCCGTCAGTAGTTAAAGCTTGTCCATCAGCCTCATGCCATTTTTCTTACAATGTTCTGTCCCCAAATATTTTTAAATAAAATATGCAATTACTGAGTCTAATTAATGACAGTAAAATGTGCCTTTTTTCCATTTAGTGGTACTCCAAAATATATTAGCCTAATCTTCTAGAGTAAGGTATTGAATGGTACATTCTGGCACATAGCCATGAACAGCAATCTCAGCATGGAAATAGATTTCAGCATATGGGTCCACCAGGTTGTGTGTTCAGCAGATTGTTTGCAAGTAGGATGGAGAGAGAGAAAAGCATTTACGTGGACAATCCCTGCAGAAACAATATGCGTTTTACATTGCAAGAACTTGGGTCAGCACCTGATTTGAGCAACAGGATCTGTTTTAAACCTGAATAGGGATGGCAATCTGTGCTTAGAAGGGCTTTTTCTCACCTTGTCAGTTGCCTTGATCTTGATGTAGCTGAAAGATCTGTTGTGCTCTGACTGTGTGTGTGTGTTTGTATTTATTCACCATGGAGAATAAACATCTTGGACAAAAAAAGACTTAACTCTAGGTTCTATACAAATACAGTAACTTGCTTTCATTTAGTCAGTGGAGAAAGTACATAACCCTTTGAATTTGATCCGGAAAGGGAGCCTATTCAAAACTAGGCGTGATCCTTCTACAATCTTTCAAGGAATTCTTTTTATTTCATTTGGCCCCTGCAGTGCCTGGATTTGTTGCTTATTTATATTTAAGGAAGAAAAAAAAGATTATTGAGCTAAGGCGTCAGGATAATGAGATCCAGAAAAATGCAAAGCAGAACTCCATATGGGCATAAGGGCAGCATGCCTGAGTTTCATTAGATTTTGGATTTTGATCATTAGTTTTTTATTGGTGAAACTTAGATAACACAAATAAATCCTATGCCTCGTTATCCTTTAACTAGTATGCCTTCTAAATTTATTAGGATTATCAGTATCTCTAAATGGGGATCTGATTTATGTAATGGTGGGCTATTTTGGAAATTGATGGAGGTTTGTAACAATAACTAAATGCTACACCCCTTCATACAATGTCTAGATGTTCATATGCAATTAACTTTTATTTTTTTTGTGTGTTTCAGAAAAAGGCATGGCAGACAATAAAGACAATTGTCAATTTGCCAGTCATCAGTCCCTTCAAAAAGCGATATTCTTGGGTGCAGCTGGCTGGTCACACTGGTAAGAACTAACTTTCTTTAATTGATCTACCATAGTAGAATGTAATTAAAAATTATTAATGAAGTTGAAAACTTTGAATTTGCTTGCAGGACTCCTAGTTAAAAAGAATACTCATGATCAAAGCTGATCATTTATTTCTAAATATTCAGCGCAAGATAAGAGAGTGTTTACATTATTCCTTCTTTTTAAAAATCTATACTGGATTTTGAGAATTAATAACCATGCACATTTAAATAATGACATAAATAAAGGTGGGCTTTATTAAAACATTAGGTGGGTCAGTAAATCATGCAGTTGGGTTACGGGCTATTTGGGGAGCTGTTCCAATGTGACCAAAATCTCACAAGAACCTTGAAACCTCAGAATTCCTAACATCATATTTTCTTGCTTTTAAATATAAAAGGGACCATAAAAACTCTCAAAATTGACCATGATTTAATTGGCATGTGATTTAAAAACATGTTTTATTCTCATCCATCTTTTGATTATCCAAACATGATTCATGCTTTGAATTTAAAATTTGTAGAGATTACAGAGTTGTTCTTTCCAGTTTCTGGGGTAGGAGTCGGGGAACATATGCTAACATAATGGCTACCTTTTCTCAACAAATTATTTTGAATTGGTTGAAAATGTATGCTGCATTCCAAAGGTCAGCTTTCAGCATATATCCCATTAACACAAGCTTGTTCCTAGTTTCATATAGTATACCATTGGCCACTATTTCAGTTATGATCAGTTCAAATAATAGCAGCAGGGCAGTGTATTTTTAATCACCAGATACGGCTCCTGAGTCATTATTTAGCTGGTTCTGTAAAGCTTTTATACAGCTATGTGTATCTGGACTTAAATATATTTGAATGTTTCAGGTAGATGTTTTTCACAGGATTTTTATGAAAAGGCTGTTTATTGCCTGGCTTTGTTCAGAATCAGAATAGAATAGAGCTGGAAGGGACCTTGGAGATCTTCTAGTCCAGCCCCTTACTCAAGCAGGAAGCTCTCTACCATTTCAGGCAAGTGACTGTCCAGTCTCTTCTTAAAAATCTCCAGTGATGAAGCACCCACAATGTCTGAAGGCAAGCTGTTCCATTGGTTAATTGTTCTCACTGTTATGAAGTTTCTCCTCAATTCCAGGTTTCTTCTCTCTTTGATTTGTTTCCATCCATTGTTTCTTGTTCTGCCCTCTTTTGGAAAATAAATTGACCCCCTCTTCTTTGTGGCAGCCTCTCAAATACTGAAATATTGCTATCATGTCCACCCACCTACCCTAGTCCTTCGTTTCTCTAGACTAGCCAAACCCAAATCCTCCAACGGTTCTTCATATGTTTTAGGCCTTCAGGTCTTTAATCATCTTAGTTGCTCTTCTTTGCACTTTTTCAAAAGCCTTGTTTATCTTGGGCTATTCTTTTTACTGAGGGCAAAAGAAGAAGGGGACGACAGAGAACATGATAGCTGGATGGAGTCACTGAAGCAGTAGACGTGAGCTTAAATGGACTCCAGAGGATGGTAGAGGACAGGAAGGCCTGGAGGAACGTTGTCCATGGGGTCGCGATGGGTCGGACACGACTTTGCAACTAACAACAAATTCTTTTTACGGGATGCTGACTTATGTTTCAACTAAATTGGAGCAGAACTGGATAGGGGGTCATGGTGCTGCTGGTGGTTATTGCAGTTGAACTGTGAGGAGAAGCCTTTGAAAATTCCAGTCACATCATGGTTTTGTTTCTGCAGGAAGTTTTAAAGCAGCCGATGCTGGGACGATTCTGAAACGCCACTCTGAGAATGAGGAGAAGTGCTTTGAACAGCTGATGAAAGATTCACTGCATTCCTGTGTCCCTGTCTTCCATGGTGTGGTGGAGAGAGATGGCGAGTCCTATTTACAGTTGGATGATCTTCTAGCTAATTTTGAAGGGCCTTGTGTGATGGATTGTAAAATGGGAGTCAGGTGGGAGATCTTAAACAACAGCTTCCCATCTCATTGTGGATAATTTGCTTGATAATTTGGATAATTTGGAAGGTAGATGTCCTTAGAGTGCTCATGGAAGGTCAACAGCAGAACTTCACGACAGATCTCTTTCAATTATACTACCTGAGTTATGGACATTTTTGAAAAATAACTATTTGAGAAGCAGCATCTGTAATATAAGCTCCCCTATAGGCTGTTTGCTTGTTCCTTTTAGGTTTATTAATATGTTTTCAATTTTTCAGTTTTGTAGTTTTATTGCTAAAAAAAATCCTGAAACAAGTTTGTAGCCAGATCTTCTGTCTATCCACAAATGGCCAATACTTTCTTTATAAAGAACACCACTTTCCAAACCCTATAGCATTTTCAGAAACTGAACTGCATATAGGACATATTCATGGAAATGAGTGGCATTTTCTAGCAAGATTTACTCAATTTGGACACATCCATAGCAAGAATAATAGAAGAATTGATGTTGTTTCACTGGTCAAGCGTCAGCTGAATTATCTCTGAGCTTGATGTCAGGTCTCACAATCAAATTATGAATTATTTTTCTGTGCACTGGGTAAAGGAACATGAATTGATTGGATGCATATGGTGAAACTAACGTCAGAACTGAATTGTCACAACTTGCACTTCTGTGTTTCTAGGGATGGAGTCAATTTTTTGTTCAACATACAGACACATCATGCTATTTCTTTTGGGATAAGTAACATTATGCACAGATTGTGGCTTTAAATAAACTTGAAGCACGATTTCGTTAAATTAAATCTCTTAAGTATATGTCCATTTTGCATTGTGAAATTGTCATTGTCCCTACCGTAAAGAGTTGTCCCAGTTTTATAAAAGTTTCAAACTAGAAGAAATGTTTACCTTGTCCTGTTGAAAATGTATTGTTGCCTTGTTCTTTCCTGCCATATACTAAATAACATTTTTTTACATAGTTGCTCTGTCCAAATATTATGCTTCTATTCAATGAAAAGTTGTTGGAAAATGTTGGAAAAAGCTATACAATTCTTTGAAATATATTTAAATATTCCTCATCAAATTGTCTTCAAATAGTCTTCAAATAAGTTCAGGACAAAAAGTTAATAATGAAGAATTCATTTCTTTTGAAATAGTTTTTTTAAAAAAAGAAAACTAATCAAAAGAGTTTTGGAAAATACACTCTCAGTTAAACAAACAGACTTTTTTTTCCTTCTTTTCCTTCTAGTTTTATAATTCTAGAGCTGGGTAGTTTCATTTTTGGAAAAAACTGTGGAATCAGTCTAAAAGATCTTTTCAATGTGTTTTTTGTGGTCTGTCTGAGTCTGATTAGCTAGCTTTGCTAAGAGGCCAATGCATTCTTATTAGGATTACTTAAGATATACATTTATAATTTTTTTTCTATAAAGATCGCAAATCAGTTCACAATCTAGAAAATTAAAAAGGAAATCAATATCTTAATCTAAATAATCTTGAAAAGAGAACTCTAGTTTGGTTGTTAATTCTCTTTGCCTGTAACTGAAATGTTGCATTATATGGGATAGATGGCATGAAATGACAGCTAACTAACTTTTGTTGTAGTTGCTAGAGTTAGAGAGATGCTCAATGTCCCATTGTTTTTGTAGGACATATTTGGAGGAAGAATTGACTAAAGCACGAGAAAAACCGAAGCTCCGTAAAGATATGTATAAGAAGATGATAGATGTGGACCCTTTGGCACCCACTGCTGAAGAGAACACACAGCATGCGGTGACCAAACCTCGGTACATGCAATGGAGGGAGACCATCAGCTCCAGTGCTAGCCTGGGTTTCAGGATCGAAGGGATAAAGGTAAGAAATCTTCCCTAGCAGTGGTGGGTTCCACTTATCTTCCCTACCGTGAGTGCCTGGAACCTTCAGAGCATGTGATGACATCTGGGCAGGTGGGTGGAGCCTCCTGCCATCGCCACTACCGGTTCGCCCAAACCTGGGCGAACCGGTAGAAATCCACCACTGTTCCCTAGCCTTTCCTGATTGGAGTATTTGTTCTGGTGTGCTTTTCAGAAGCTTCCATAGTAATGTATCATTCATGGCCACACCTGGGTGACAGTGTCTGGTCTCAGAAGCTATGTAGGACTGAGCCTGGTTGGTGATTGAGTGAGAAGCCAGCAGGAAATAGAAACATGTAATTTGTACTTGACTGGAAAGTGTCCATAGCTGATACCAGTGCCCTCAAGGCAGGTATCTTGAGATATATAACCCTATCTCTCTCTCACACACACAAAGATAAACATGCATATATAATGGCAGTTTAACAGACAAGCATATTTAGCTGTTTGGACTACAAATTTTACAGCTATTTGCCATTGGCTATATTGGCTATCAAACAAGGCTGATATTCCGTACAGTTTACAGAGCATCAGCTGAACCAGCTGAACTAGGCTTATCAAGAAAAGCAACAGCAATAAAACAAATATCACCATCAAAAGGGAAGCAAAGGGCATGGATGATACGATTGTTTCTGGCCTGGGAAATAGTCATCTGTGTTAGAAGCCTGAATTAAAAATGTCAATTTTGATATTAATAAATTTCCGTATCCTATGTGCTTGATTGCTGTTATCACCCTAGCCCTTACCACATTGGCTCTCATGCTGTTGAATGGGTTTAGAATCCTAAAAGATTCTCTCTCTTTGGGCATCTTCCCAGCATCTCAGGCTTTGATGTTAGCAAAATCACTTGGAGGGTACTGTCAGATGTTTCTCCCTATGATGAGTTATATACTGGTATGTGATAGCTAGTGTGCCATCTGGCAATAGGCAGAGAGAATTCTTTCACTGTACTCACTGAGTTCATCAGAGTTCTGCTAGTTTTCTCTGCCCACGATGTGCCCAGCCATTGCATAACGTTCTTATGTCTTGTCAGGCACATGCATTTGGATCTATGCCAGACTCACCCTTTTGGAGCAGAAGTTTTTCTTCTGAAGGAGGAGAAGCTATTAAAGGGGAGGGAAGTAGATGCCTGCCTGCCATCTACCACAGATTTTACTCAAATTGCATCAGTATGAATATATAGAACGTCACATTTCACTGGGCATTCATCTACAGAAAAAAATGAGAATATATGCAGATGTATGTTCTTTTTTAAAAAAAAAGTCTTGCATATTTCATAGTCAGAAACCTGGTTTTAAGCTGCAGTATTCTTTCTATAAATGCTAACCGTCATTCCAGTCCTTTCCTAATGAACTAGATGCAGGGGTACACTTAAGGGCAAACTGATTGAAATAAATGGGACTTGAAAAAGTTCAGGCTAAAGGAATTCCACCAATTATTCCAGTGAATCAACTTTTAACCGTGACTCTGTAATTACTGACTCAGTATCACTATCACTCTGGATAGCAAGAGATGGGCAACATATCAATAAAATAAAATAATATTCCAAAATATATCTTGTATCACAGAAAGATAGGTTTTTCCTATTTGTCTTACTGCATTTCTCTCTTGTCTTTCTTCTTAGGTTCTTAACCCCACCCTTCCCCGTTCCCACTTTTGCAAGAGAGATTAGTCTGAGTGAGTGAGTGAGCCAGGGTCTTCCAGGAAGTTTCATGATAGTATGAATTTGAACTTGGTGTTTGCAGTGCAACAGTTTAATTCCATCTTCTGGGGAACTGAATTGCAGCTAGATCTGTCAGTATATGCATTGGGAGGATACCAGGTTAGGAAGGACTCTGTGTATGTCTATATGTCTATATGCACCTTCAAGTCAATGTCTGGCAATTGACTGAACAAGTCCCTGAAGTTTCCTTGGCAAGATTTCAAAAGGGGGTTTCCATTGTCTCAATCTTCCTTAGGGCCAAGAGAGAATGACTAGCCAAGGTTATCCCACTGACTTTGGATCTAAGGTGGGATTAGAACTCATGGTCTTCACGTTTCTATCCTGGTGCTTTAATTCCTTGACCAAACTGATTCTTTTTAGTTGGGAGGATTACTAAACAGTTACTGTATGCTGTAAGATGTAGATTTTAGTGGATAATATACACAACTAGTTTTGCCATACTAGTGGAGTTACTTGCAGTTGCATCAAAAGAAGACTTCTCCACCTAGGTATGTCCTGGGTTCAGTGTTTGAGTACATTGTTTGAGACTTCCTCCTTTCTTTAGCCTCTTTCCTGGTTTCTTCTTTCCACTCCCTGCAGAATGACTCCCCCTATCTTTTTAATATTTACAGAAGGCTGATGGGACTTGTAATACCAGCTTCAAGACAACAAAGACACGAGAACAAGTTTTCCAGGTTTTTGTGGAATTCATTAAGGGAAACACAACTATATTGGTAAGCTAACCATGGAAGTTTGGGATGACAGTTTTAATTCTCATTTAGGGCTTGCTTGCGAAGAGGAATTGCCTAAACAGGTGTGGGATTTTGTGGATGATTCCTTACAGGGAGCTAGGATGCCATTATTACCATCAAAAGGGATCTTAAGATTTTTTTAAAGTCTCTTAGAATTTTTCTTTTAAATCAGTGTCGTACCCGGGTGGAATGGGATGGTCTGATCTGTCCCAGGTGCAGGCGATAAGAGAAGTGCTGCCAAAGATGAAGAGCAGGTTAGCAGAAGGAGTACAGTGTAGTTGCTTCTGCCAGCGTGCCAATCAGTTGTGTAGTAATGGTAGTGGTGGTAGTGGTAGTGGTGCAACAATGGCAGAGAAAAAAGTTTTGTGCCTTTAAGCCAGAGCTGAAGAAGCTTCTTGCTTGAGATGTGAAATGTCTTCAAAGAAAAACTAGAAAATCTAGTTGCCTCTTGAAAAAGCACCTTTGAGACAACCATGACCTGGATGGCAAGGTCATCTTGCCTTCAAGTCAGTTTTAATTTAACTTTCCCTTCTAGTTGTGTTGGCAGCATTTTTCAGAACTGGCTTGCCATTGCCTCTTTCTGAGAGCTGAGAGTGTTTGATCAGCTCAAGGTTACCAAGCTGGCTTTGTGCCTAACACGGGACTCGAATCGAACAGTATCCTATTTATAATGATACCTTAACTACTATACGAAACTGGCTCTTAGTGATGGAGGAATATTATTGTAATAAATAATTAAAAACAATATCTTTTGGGCGTCAAATATACTAGGTAAGTCTATTCAAATTAGATGTTATCTCTGAATCAAAAAAACCCCAATCTTTCTTTGATTTGAATTTTGGGTTTGGCTGAATGAAAAAGCTTGAATTCTTTTGTCATGCTCTTCAGCTTTTGATGAACTTTTGTACATTATATTTCTTGGCTACCTGATTGACTTTTGTGCAATATCTAGTATTATGTGAAGAGCAGGTGCAGAAGATGAGGATGTGAAACTGCATAAATAACCCCTTGTTATTTATGAAAGCACTCGATCAGATTGTTTATGGAGCAAAGTGTTACCAGTGTATTGATTACACTCAGCTTAACGGAAGCTAGGAGGTTCAGCAGTGATACTATTGCATCAAAGGTGGGGAAAAAGAGATGATAGAAATAGAATATAGGGATTGGCAGGGTGGACATTCTGTTATAGTTTTCTGCCAACCCTGGGATGGGTTAGGGTTAGGGTTAGAGTTAGGGTTAGAGTACTTCAACCCCGCAGTCAGGAATTAGGTTTGTGCAAGATTGTTGGTAGACTGTATCTCAGATGGCTCAATGACAATATATTTTCTGATGTGTCCCCCTTCCCCTACTATTGTGTTAATCTTCCTTTTGTCTATATGGCAGAAATACTTTTTAAGTGATTCACTGCTTCTTTTCTATTTTGGACAGAAAAAATATTTAAAGCGTCTGCGTGAAATTCGTGGCATCCTTGAGTCTTCTGTCTTCTTCAGGCAACATGAGGTGAGTTGCTCTGATTGCTCTAGTAAGTAGCGGTATATTTAATGAAACATGCATATACAGATAGTCCTCGACTTACAACAGTTCATTTAGTGACCGTTCAAAGTTACAACATCACTGAAAAAAGTGACACGACCATTTTTCATACTTACGACTATTGCAGCCATCCCCATGGTCACGTGATCAAAATTCAGATTGTTGGCAACTGTCTCACATTTATGACAGTTGCAGTGTTCCGGGGTCATGTGATCACATTTTTTTGACCTTCTGACGAGCAAAGTCAATGGATAAACCAAATTCCCTTAACAACCGTGTTGCCACCTTAACAGCAAGAAGGGTTGTAAAATGGGACAAAACTCACTTAATACATCTCTCGCTTAGCAACATAAATTTTAGGCTCAATTGGGGTCGTAGGTCAAGGACTACCTGTATATTATCTGCTTCTATTCAATAATTGCAAGAAATTTTAAATACAAATGTGCTAAAATGTAACACGAAAGTCATCTAGTTCCAGGGCCTTTTTCCAATACAAAAACTTCTCTTTCTGTGAATCAGCCTGAAACCAAATTGTGATGCAGTTCAGAAAAAAAAAAAAAAACTGGGAATGGCATGCTGAAACATCATATAGCCAAGCTTTGCTGCTTGTTGCAAAATATGTCTGATACATATGCAAGGAATCCACATTTGTGAGCCAATTCATGACTCTCTTAATGGCTTTGTCTTCAAAAACTGAAATATATGCTTGAATAAGCTTCCTTGTACTGAGTATCAAGAACAAAAAAAATTGAAAGATCTCTGTTGTCTTCAATCCATTGCTTTCAATATTCAACAATATTAGCTATTTAACTACTTAGCTCTGTGTCTATAGTATTCAGGTGAAAGATATTAAGATACCATTTATACAAGATGGTTTCAACATCTTGAAGTTGAAACTAAACTAGTGAATATAAAATAATCCCAGTAAATATTGTTTATGGCTGTTTCATCTATGAATTAAGTACCTACTGTACGTGTATGAATTATGTACCTACTGTACAATAAGCAATATCATCTTAAGAAGATCGAGGAAGTGGTTGCCCTCTGCAATGACATCATTCCAGAGATATATATGGAACCCACCCTAATGATGTTCAGGAAATCACTAAAACTTGATTGTTTTCACAGCCTGGGATACATTGGTTGTAGAGTCTCAATTATTTAAGTTTGGTTTTATAGTTAGTTGTATTGTTCCTCTGGTTGGCTATAATTTCTTTTTCTATATACTGGGTGTGATTTTTTTTTTTTAAATTTGTAAGTTGCTAAGAAGTTGGGCAGCCTGAAAATTGGATAAATCAATCAATCCCACAAAGTCCAGTTATCCGTCGAGATAAGTCTTTGTTGGACAGACCACACAAAACATTTGTGGGTTTTATTAGTCAAAGAAGATTGTAAATGTGCACATTTCTTTATAAACTGGTTGTGTGTTGGTTCTAACTATAGGTAGACCTTGACTTATGGCCACAATTGAGCCCAAAATTTATGTTGTTAAGCGTGACATTTATTAAGTGAGTTTCGACCCATTTTACATCGTTTTTTATTAAATGAATCATTGCAATTGTTAAGTTAGTAACATGGTTGTTAAGGGAATCTGACTTCCCCATTGACTTTCTTTGTCAGAAGGTCACAAAAAATGATCACATGACCCTGGGACACCACAACTGTCATAAATCAATTGCCAAGCGTCCGAATTTTGATCATATGACCATGGGGATGCTGCAATTGTTGAAGTGCGAAAAACAATTATAAGTCACTTTTTCAATGCCATTGTAACTTCGAATGGTCACTAAGTGAACTGTTACAACTCAAGGACTAACCTATATATGGAGACTGGAATCACAATCAGCCAATATTTACACGTAATAGCAAGTTTCAGGAAATGTAATAAATTAGATCTTTGTCTCTTTCTATTTTCTGTAGGTAATTGGAAGTTCACTGTTATTTGTGCACGATGAAAGTGAACATGCCAATGTGTGGCTCATTGATTTTGGAAAGACTACCTTTCTTCCAGATGGGCAAATCTTGGACCACAGAATTGCTTGGCAAGAAGGGAACCGGGAAGATGGATATTTATTTGGACTGGACAATTTAATTGATATCTTAGAAAGTATGTTGGAGAGATGAGAAATACTAACATGAAGTTGCTAACTTTTCTAGAATTGCTCCCTCCGAAGCCTTTTAAAATTCTTCCAGAACCTTGGAGGTGTCCAGAATATGGAAGACTTCAGCAAAAAAGATGTAATTCCTAACCAACCATGAAACCTAAACAGTTCAGAAGCTAACATTGAATGCACCAAGCAAACATAAGATTTATGCAAGAAATAGGATGATTGTGAACATTTGGATGATGATCAGAACATTTGCTTACATGTGAACCAACTAATTCAGTATTGCTGTTTATTGACCTTGGGCTTAGAGTAAATATATATATATATATATCAGAGATCTCCTTCAAAGAAGAAATCTTCAAAACCAACAAGCAGGCTTCCCTCCTTTCTCCAGCGTTTACACTGTAAATATTCCCGTGTTTGCAGATGTGCAACACATCTTGGAACTTGGTGCAGAATATATAGATTCATAGTTTTCCTTTTTTTAAAAAAAAATAAATACTCTAGTTTCTATTCTTGTACAGGAAAAAAAAAATGAAAATATGCACAGAATGCTGCTGAAGCTTCAGAAACCAAATGGTATCTCATAGACAATGCAAGAATTTACTCTTGATCCTAGCCTCACAGTCTAACTTTCTCTTTCTTTGCTAAGCCATGTTTCCCTTGAATTAGCTTTTTTTCCTTCCCATTCCTGCAAAAATATTATGCACTTTGTCAGTACAACTACCCCTTCCAAACACTGAATACCAAATTAACCTGTTTAACTTGCTCACGTCTAAGTAGATAGATTTTTAAATTGCCATATATATAAAAAACTCTGGGTATAATTGACATAAAACCAATGTGTGCAAAGGACATGAATAGCCATATTTATTCTGTTTCAGAATTAGTGAGTAACTGTCTCTGTGTGTTTGACTCTCTCTGCTAGAGATGCTGAACAATTCTAAAAGCTAAAATGTTGGTTCTCATTTAAAGAGTTTGGTTTGCATTAATCTAATTGCATTAATGTTTCTAATTGCTAACATGTTTAAAAATAGCCTGGGACTGATTTTAAGGCTCCTAAATTTAAGATTCTTGTAATCCAAGAAATTGTAGAGACAAAGAAGAGCCATGTATTTTAAGATATTTAGCTTCAGGATAAATTCAGTGTGTGTGAATACAGAAGTGACACCTAATCAGTCACTATGTATTTGAATATTTGTGGGATCCTACTTTAATGACTCAGTTTATGAAATGAAACAATTATTAATTTATCTAGTTGACACAGATTTTTTCCCCCACATCCAGGGACTAAATCTTCAGCCTTGTCACTCAGCGATAAAACAGTTTAATCACCAAGTGGCTTCCTCACTTTGCACTTCTATTTGGGTCTACTAGCAGGCTTTTGAAGGTATAAGGGAAAAATTATCAAGCAGAAAGTTTGTGTTTCAGGTTTTTGATATTTAGGCTTTGTGTTAAAAATCCACTCGGTACATCAGTTAAATCTGGTATATTTAATTGATTGATTGGATAAAGGCTTAGGAAGTGAATTTAACAAAAGAGAAACCTTGCAATATTAATTCTTGGTTCTTGTTTTTTTTTTTTAATTTGATTTATATGCCACCCTTCTCCGGAGACTCAGGGCGGCGTACAATGCGTTAAGCAATAGCCTTCATACTTTTTGTATATTTATACAAAGTCAGCTTATTGCCCCCACAAACTGGGTCCTCAATTTACCTACCTTAGAAAGGATGGAAGGCTGAGTCAACCTTGAGCCTGGTGAGATTCGAACTTACAGTAATTGCAGACAGCTGGTGTTAATCACAGTGCTTTCAGTCTGCTGAGCCACCAGGATTTGAGATAGGCTTGAAGTCACACTGATCAAAAATTAAGACAAGCTGATTTTACAGAGTATATTCCCCCTGTTTGCTACAGTCTAGCCATATAAATTCAATGATTATGTGACCTAACATTTACCCTGTGCTATTGTGATTCAAGGCTTTGTGTGTGCTTGCTTAGAGTTCTTTTAGGCCCTATAGCAAACCTGAAGATATCTTCTCTTCAATAATGGAGGAAGAAAAAGTAGTCCTTCTATACCAGTTGGGTGACCATCCTACCTCTGTGGCTCCATTTCTGTGGCCTTCTCTATAGTTCCGTAGCATGTTAGTGTCATCTTAATGGCTAGAGCTGCCAAAATACTTTTCAGCTTTTCAAATATCTGAGGCTAATTTTTGTTTGACATAGTATTTAATTTCCTTTTCTCCATAAAACAGTAGAGGATAACCTTTCTCATCCTTAGGGACTTCACTAAGTAGGCAAGGCTGAAAATGTGACCCAGTTTTCTGGTTTTAGAATGAAAATGGCATTTACTTCTTCCCTTAAAGTTCTAAGACTTTAAGGAAAAAAATAATATTGTCCTGATGTTTTGGTTGGTCCAGGAGAGGATATTAAGGAGTAACATTAATTTTAAAAAATGGGCTTAAAATTCAGTCCCACCCACCTTGGGAGGTTCTGGAGACTACACATTTTTAAATGCTAGAGCCCTGTGTTTTTTCTACTCTTCATGTAGTCCGGGGTCCCCAACCCTCCCAGTCCATGGACTGGTACCGGGCCACGGCATGCCAAAACCTGGGCTTCACAAACAAGTGAAGCCCCATCTGCTGGGTGCAGGCAGCAGGTGAAACCCTGCCCCCTCTGGTCCGTGGAGAAACCTCCCTCCATGGAATTGGTCTCTGGAGCCCAAAAGGTTGGGGACCGCTGCTGTAGACAGTCTGATGAGCATTAATATATAAAAACGGCCTCCCATTTGCTTGTCAGTTTCAGCAGATTCACAAGTCAGTTTCAGCCATTCTTTAATTCTTTCATCTCCATGTCTCTTTGGGTCTAATTTCAGAATGGATGAGATGATATAACATTTTGCTATTCCATTGTGCAAAAAATCTAGAAGGCTCTGATGTACACTAAAAAGCAGATAAATAAAATAAACCCACACTTATAGATAAATCCTTGTTCAATAAATTGAAGCCGTCCCAGCAATACAACCGTCATTAGGTTGAAGAATTCAAAGTTGCTGTTCACAGTTTTTAAACTTTCATAGCAACCCCTGAGTGTAATGTGAGAATCTTCTGACATAACTAATTTTAAATTAAACTTATAATTGGCCAGAATTTTTTAAAATGGCTACTAAATATATTTTTGTATGTGTAGATTATTTTTTTAAAAATAGGTCTTATTAAGTTATCTGGATGTAGAATTTTGTGTAATAATTAGATATGGGATTGGAAATTATGATTTGGAACAAAATTATTTAAAAATGTATTTCAGCCTAAAAGTTATTTAGTTTTTTTAAAAATGAAAACATCTCATTTATATATTGCTACTTCTTATACATATTGAGAAAGAGCTCAGGACACCAGAAAGTTTTATAATAAATTTTGTCTGTGATTTTCCATTCCATTTTCAAAGCATTCCAAGCCTATCCTTTCCCCAAAGCCCCTTTCTTCAGTTCCTTCCATCATGAGCCAACAATGCTTAACTCTTTCTTGGGGATGAGGCAGGAGCATGGCAGGCAGCTGCTCTTCAATTGAAAAGTGAAGAATGAAATCAATGAATAAAATCTGCATTTTAGCTGCCTCTGAAAAAAAAAAGGGCAGTCCGGAATTGCCAAGCTCTGCAATGTTGTTGTTTGAAATGCATCCTAGCCAGGTTATATGTCAAGGGTATGTCCAGATGCAGATATGTTGTAACACTATCATGGAGGTAGGACTTCATGGAACTAGATAGCAAAAGTGGCTTTGGAATAATTTTGTTTTCATTTTCTTTAGACTAGGGTTTTCCAAATGATGGATTGTTAGAGGGATATGCAGATGGTATCTTGGTGCACTCCAGGTGTTTAAGATTATGCATTTCAATATTTTTGGTTAATTCCAAACAACTGGAAGAAGTTAATAAGAATTTTGGTTGAAAACATCTATGGTCACTATGATGCCAACTCCTAGTAGAGGTTTCAAGGGAAGAGTTTAAAATAGAATCTTGTCATGTTTTATCTTGAGTGTCGTGGTAGATAACACTATAAAGGCAAGCTCCATATATCCACCTTCCCCCCCCGAAAATGTTTTAGTTAACCTCCGGTTTTGATTTTGAGAGTTTAGAAATACTTTGGTATTTCTCTGTACTTACGTATAGAGACTCTCCTTCTCTCCCTTGTATAAATTTTGCATCTGGCAATCTCTTACCTGCTGTTGTCTGTTCAAAGGGTCACTGAGTTTTTGTTGCCTTCTGCTTTTTTTTTTTAATCATTACCCTAAATTGCCTCTCCATCTAATTTCTGATAGCCAATCTGTAGATCCTGACTAGTTATTGCTCAGGCTACAGACATATAATAATACACAAAGGATAGCTTTTGTCTTTTCTAATTTCTCTTCTTTGTATCCTGATCTTTGCAAGCTCTCCTTGGTAGGTTTGGTCTACCATATATGACCATAATTATCTTCTCTGGTGCCTTTTAGCTGTTTTATTAAAATGTGGTCTTTAGGGCTATCTAGGAGAAACAGATAGTTCCTAAAAAGATCCTGATCAAGGAAATTTTATGAAATACGTTTCGCCCCCCCCCCCCCCCCCTTTAAAAGAAACAGCTGCCATAAGTTTCAGTGGGGAAAATGACACACTGAAAATTACTTCAAATTCAGTGCCACAAACATTTACCTCTCCTTACACTTTCCAAGAAATATTTCTTTCTCTACTTCTTTAAAAAGTAGACATGCTTTTCACACAGGGTTGTTGTGGGACTCCATATGTTGTTGTGATGCATTTACTTAGGAGCTGAAAGGAAAAGTGCAATATAGAGAATGGCAAATAATTTTGTACTTAAAAGAGTTTTACAATCCATTGAGAATTTAGAGTTGTGGATTTGAAATAGAAAAAGCTGGATCCTCTCCTGCTGAATTCTATGAATCATTCATGATGAGAAATTATGCTTTCAGATAGCCAAGTTGACTTTAACTACAACTCTAGTTTTATTACTACTAGCATACAAAGAGTTTTTCATTTATAGACAATGTTGTGCCAAACACTACAGTGTGAAGAATTTGGGTATCCTAATTGTATGGGTTTAAGAACCTGAGTAGTCAAAATGTGCTATAACAAATAAATATAATTAAAAACATGTTCATTAATTTTTTAATGTTCTTGGTATCATGTTTCTTTCTTTACTGGGGACAGATGAATGTCAAATTAGATAAACACATGCACAATAGTAGTATTCAAGAAAACATAATTTTGGGGATTCACAATATTTTCCTCAGACCCATAGTAGAGAAGGAAAGATTTTATTAATTATTAGTGGATACTATTGTACAAGATTTTTTTTAAAGGGAAGAATATATAAGTGGTGGGAAAAAAAACTGTAAAAGGAAGTGATACTCCTGGAGTTCTATAACTCTTTATCAGAAGCAGGAGAGATTATCTGTTTTGTTTCCTCTTTTTTTCTTGAAAACAACACTCCTTATCCTTACAAGGGAAAAACATGTATTGAGTCCAGCATATTAGTTGGTCAAACCTCCTTTCCCCAATAAGAATGGAGGAGGGGGTGTTAAGAAGAGTGTAACAAACTGCATATGCTTTACTATTGCTCTACTTTTGGCCTGAGATTCAGATTTCCCTTTCTTGGAATGAGGTGGGAGGGTAACAGCAAATCTGAGATATCAGTGTATCTCCCCAACAGTCTGAGCCTGGAACAAAAAATTCCCTCCCACCCTTCTGACATAGTTAAAAATGATATCCTGAAATGCTAGGTCAATCCATAGGGAGAAACAAAGATATCTCTGATGGAGATATGCAAGATACATTGCCTAGGCCAATGCCTGTTAAGGTGAGGTCCTCTGGAGGTCCCCAATACGTTCACAAGGTCAAAATCATATGCCATTTTATGTTGAAAAATAATATGGTACAATATTAAAATCCCCTCTCAAATGATTGTGAGGAGTAGCAACAGTGAATGTATCAACTCTAATTTTTAAATATAACCCACTCAAACAAAAACTCTTTAGGTGTTCCCCATAATTTTTAAAAGTGGGAAGGTGTCATGAGAGAACAAAGTTTAAGGACTGGTCTAGACAAAAGGGATTGAAGTATTTTTCAAGTCCATGATGGGATGACATTCAGAAGCAACTCAGGCATGTGCCTTCCTAATTAACTGAACTATAAGGAGGAGGAGATACAGAACAGTGGTGGGATTCAAATTTTTTTACTACTGGTTCTGTGGGCGTGGCCTGGTGGGCGTGGCAGGGGAAGGATACTGTAAAATCTCCGTTCCCTCCCCACTCCATGGGAAAGTTACTGCAAAATCCCCATTCCCTCCCCCCCAATCAGCTGGGACTCGGGAGGCAGAGAATAGATGGGGGGGGGCAGTCAGAGATGGTATTTACCGGTTCTCCGCTACCGGTTCTCCTGAACTGGTCAGAACCTGCTGAATACCACTTCTGGTACAGAACAATGGCAAGTTTCTGGTTTTATAGCCAATTTCAATAAAAGTAGTTTTAATCTGCCAGTGGAGCTGACTTCCTGCTCTGGTTTAATTGCTCCTAGGGCTGACAGCATCACCCACATTTTCCAAAATGTAAACTGCTATGATGAACAGATGAACTGAGTTCTCATTCACATATCTTGATTGAAAATAGGCAGGGCTAATAAGATGATTTCAATAATGCTATTTTTTTCTTTTTGAAGTGATGGGAAATTACGTGGAGTGAATAATAGAGTGGCATTTTTTCCCCTTAAAACAAGTAATAAACATTTGTGACTGAGCATTCCCATTCTTCAGTTAACATAATGCCAAGATACACCCTGAAATATAGGTATATTCTAGTGAAGTACGGTAGCTGAAAGGATTTATCTTTTTACAGTTACTTTTATTGTATCCGAAAAAAGCAATGAAAGCATATAGTGCTGTTCCAAGCATTGTAGGGGGATTGGTATTGCTATTTCCAAATAGCAATTTGGTTTATTCCAGAGGAACCTCATTTAAATTAATGTAAGCTTAATGCCATAAGTAATGTAGTTGCTCTGTTCTAAACATGACTGGAGGGTATTCCAGATAAGGCTTTTATTGCACAATAGTCTTGCCTTAGCATGGAATTTTATGAAGAGTCAACTTCTCTTTTTCCATTTATAATCCTCTGATCTTACATATATTGCTACCATAATTTTTCTTCCAAAGAACTCTTTAGAGGCTGGAGGGAGATGAAATAATTACAAATAATTATAATGCAGGCAAATATACACGTCCCAGGATAATGTTGCAGGATCCAATCTGGGTCAGTCACTGGGACCAGAGGTTTAGTCTTCTGAGCTTTTGGACTTGTGCTGGAATCCTCAGGGAACTTCTTTCTCACCACAACATGTGACACATTCTGATGAAAGAGAAGTTCTCTGATGATGGGCTCCAGCATGAGTCCGAAAGCTCGGAAGACTAAACTTCCGGTCCCAGATTGTACCCTTCAATTATACAGAGGCCTCAACAGACTTGAATCTGGAATTGACACTGCATCTGCTGAGAAATTACAATTTTAGGGGAGTATTTTATCCATTAGCGTCCATGGAAAATAGTTCTGAATAATAAAGACGAAAGAGCTGCATTAAGCTGCCTTTATATCTCTGTTGTGTATATCTTAATATGATTTAAAATTGCATAGAAGCATGACCATAAAGAGTAAGATGGCAAACAGCATTCCCATCCTTAAAGGTAATCCCAGATCCTTGGTACAAAAGTGAAAAGGATGAAATAATAAGCAATTCTTCTCTAGGCTACTGCGGAAAAGGAATGTCAGAACAGGATGGTAGATCAAATTATGCCTGGTTCAAAGTAAACTATTAAGATAGCACTGCAAGCCATAACAAGTCATGAGAAGGTAAGAAGTGCAACCAGGATCTTGGGATCTATAGCCATATAGATTAATAGAGATACAAAATAAAAGCACTGTGCACTAACAATAAGGACTTTATTTTTCTAAAATGGTATTAAAGATCTTTGGGAAATGTTCCTTAATCATTAATTTTGCTAAATAAAATTTTAACACTGGTTTTCAAGAAAACTTTCTGCTCTTGCTACACCGAACCAATGAATTACTTAGGCCTTACTTCATGATTCTGATGTTTTGGGGATTAAAAATCTCTGGGAGTTCATGGAAAGAAGTCCATTACTACCAATAAGGCAGGTAATTATATTGTGATTAAAATGACATACAAACATAATGTATACCTACTATTTGCACATTACACCAAACTAAGACAAGAATATACTGGTGTAAGCTTTTACAGCCAGTATCTGTTGAGCAGTGTTGGGTTTCAAGGTTTAGTAACTGTGGTTTTGACAATAAATTTCCTGACGTTTCACTTGGACTTGTGGCGGGCATCTTCACAGACAAGGTGGTCTGTTGCCATCGAAATGTCAGGAAATCTCTTATCTAGATGATCACTAAACCAAGAGAAAAGCTTAGCTAAGATCAAGAACTGATAACAACAGAACAATACTGAACATCTTCTGAAGACTTTAACTTTCAGCCGGAGAACTGTAAGATAAAATAGATACAGCAAGACTGATTCTAAAAAAGAGTAGCCTATATAGCCTTGAACATATCTCTTGAGCATCTATCCAGTTTATACATCAGGTACATGAAGATACTGTACACAGTCCTCTGAATCCATTGACAGCTCTAAACTCTATTGATTCCCTGCAGTGAAACACACTCAAAGTTACCTTGTGTAAAACAGAAATGCATCCATGAAATGACTTGGGCTAAAATGGAATTTTCTATAAAGATTTATGATTTAAAGAGTTACATTGCCTAATAAATTCATTCTGCTTCTAAATATCCTTTTCTGTCCTTCAACCTTGTTCTGAACTTGCTAATAGTGAACTCATAACTCCTTAATTTTCAAGAATGTAGCTGGCACTTGGTCTGGAATTGTATTCCTTAATAACACCAACAGCTATTAGAGGATAAAATTTGAGACCAAATGTTACTTAATAAGGCAAGATTGTCCTGAAAATTAAAATGCTTTTTTGTTGATACTGTTTTAAGTAACTAACTTAACTATGGTTCACCTTCAAAGAGTTTACATTATTATTAAGTGTATTTGTACAAAAAAGACCTCTACTGAAGCATGAGTTGCTACTATTGAACACAGACTGCTTGTACATTAGGGGTGCCTTGTGAGGTCCATTAAAAGCATTTAGCCCACTGAGCTATAACTAATGAGGAATAATTCTGACTCCAGAGACCTAAGTTGGATTTTGTGAGGCAAAACCATTTTCAGTAATGAAAAAGAAGGCCTCGGTTCTGTTTGCTCCTTTACAAACCTTTTATTTGTTTTCTGTGCTTTTTCTGCAGAAAACAGATAATTTCTGTCCTTTCTTAATCTAGTTTCTTTGTTACCATTCACTTTGGGCAATAGTGCCTTAAGTAAACTAAGTATATTTAATTTCCCATACAGTATTATGATAAATAAGTTGGAAAGTACAATAATTTACAGATCACTGGTTTAAACCGGTAATGATTGGTTTTGCCGTTTCTTACATGTTCTGTTTTATGATATAGATAATTTTTATTAGAGGTGATTGGGTATGACCACTTCCAACTAAACCCTGAACCATTTTAACAAGGACATCATTTCTTTCTGTAACCACGAATTTAATAGATTGGAACCAATGTTACATTTTGAACTGCTTCATTGGGCATTCATAGGAAAGGAAGCCAGAGAGTGATATTAATCCACCCAATTTAAGAATAGGGATGGAGGACTTTTTAATTGCTCTTGCAGCCGTACCCAAAGTTGAAGATATGATTCTTCAGCATCCCCTGTTATATAGGAGTAACATTCAGATCATCAGACAAGGAGAGACCAGAATCTCTCTCCCTTGAGGTTTTCTCTGTCTTGAAAACAAGCTTGCTATCCCTGTGCAGACTTCCACTCCTCATGACTGTGGCTGGCTCTACAGCCAAAGGTGAAGGGTGACCTATTTCATAGCAGAGGTCATCATAAGCATAATTCACATTGCCGCAAGGGAAATTCTGCAGCTTCACCAGTTCAATCCCACCAATATCAATGTGAGGAGAATGGTTCTGACTTGGAGATGAAGGCGAGGCCCGAGAACTAGGGGTGGGACTATAATTCCCATCAAATCCTGAATCTTCTCGCTCTTGCATTGTGTTGAGTTTAGAGCTGGGACTGGATTGGCAATTATTCTCCATGACCCAGGATCCATATGTTGGGTTCCAAAGGTTTTTGGTTTTGTTCTTCAACTTATGTGCTGGCTGACTTGTGGAATCCAGTTTCTGGTTTAAGACTGGTTGAGCCCAAGCCCCACTGCTGGAATGGCTGAAACGTGGTAAGTTTGGTCCTCTTGCTCTCCAATTACTAAGGTTCTCCACTAATAGCTCTTGGGGACATTGTCCATATTTGTTCCCAGAATCATGTTCTTCAATTGCTTGGTGGCTTATTTGAGGGCACTGATTCCCAAGCAAAGGAACTATTCCTGTGTTGCTATTTGGATGTAGCACAGTGCTTCCTTCATCCTCTGGTGTGGGGCTGCATTCAATGGGCAATTCAGTATGGATCACGTCAGGGTCCTAAAAGACAAACCAAGATGTTGGATTTCTTGTGCTATTCTTTTGTTAAAGCACTTAGCGGACAACTCTCTCACAGAGTTGCACAAGACCAAACTAAACAAAATCCATAGATGCATGGTCTTACTTAACTTAGAAAAGGTGCTTTAGAAGTCCCAAGACTGCTTTTTCCAAAGGTAACTGGGCTTTCTTGCTTTTTCATCAGTTCTGATTGAATGGTGAACTGACTATGTTGAATGGTGAATTGAAGAAGCATCTTGGATGAGAAGCGAAATGTCTTCAAGGAAAAAAGAAAGTCCAGTTGCCTTTTGAAAAAGCATCTTTGGAAGAACCATAATTTGGATTACTGAGAATCTCCACACACATGCTCTGGAAGAGAGATGGTGATTAATTGAAGCGGTAGACATTATATGTATGTGTGCACGGCTCTTCCTTTTCTTAATATTTCCCAGAAGTGAAGACCCATCATTAATTTCTGATTATAATCAGTTGTGCCTCTGAATATAAAAAAAAAATATCAAATTCTTCAGAAAACCTCTCCAGAATGCAAGGAATTGTGGGTTTGTGGATGGTAGGGTGGGAGGGAGGAAAAAGACAAATAAGAGTTCAGAAGACAATCACAAATTAGACTGGCCAATAATCAGGGTCTTATTGACTGACTGACTGACTGACTGACTGACTGACTGACTGACTGACTGATGACTGACTGACTTATTTATTTATTTATTTATTTTATTTATTTATTTATTTATTTATTTATTTATTTATTTATTTATTTATTTATTTATTTATTATTTTTCCCGCCTATTCGCCCATGGCGACTCAAGGCGGCTTACAGAATAAAAGACCACAATATGATCACGAGTGAGTGAGGGTCCTGAAAAATGAAGCGGTGCATAAAGAGTAAAGCAGGAATAAATCAGCTATTTTGCATAAGAAGACCACTTACTTGTGTGCAGTACTTGATCCTTTCCAGGATTGTAGAGAAATTTGGTCTGTATTCGGGACTGTGCTGCCAGCATTGTGTCATGATCCGATAGCTTGGAGAAGAAATTGGAAAAAAGAATAACGCCTTTATTAGAGAAGATGAGGTTTCACCACCAGCAGGGACTTTAAGTAAGGGTGAAGCAACGTTGGTCATACCCTCAGGAGATCTCTGAGATGATTCACATGCACTCATACCATAAGGAAATGTTCAGATGGTAAAAAGGGGGCCATGTTCATAATTTTACACTACAAAAAGTAGTGCCAGAGGTTTTTCAGCCAGCTGCCATAGGAAACCAGGCAGTCTTCCTTTTTTTCTCCTTGCTCATTTAGAAGAGCCTAATACTTCTAAGGAAAATATAACACTGATCTCTCTCTCTCTCTCTCTCTCTTTCCCCCCCTCCCGCCTCTGTGTGTGTGTGTGTGTGTGTGTGTGTGTGTATTGCATAATCTCCAATGTGGGTAGGTAGTAAGCAAAACATTTTATCTAAATTGGTGCAGTTTTGATAAACCTAAACTTTAAAGAGTGGTCAGCCATATTAAAAACAATCTCGATTGTTTTCTGAATGTCCCCCTTTTTATTGACTAAAGCAGTCATACTCACACAGGTCCAGGGCAGTTCTTGGGAGGGTCCATTCTTCCTCCACTGGTAACAAACTCTAATACTTCCTGGTTGGTTTTACATGGATAAGGCATGTAGCCCAAGGAGAAAATCTCCCAAAGCAGCACTCCGAAGGACCTAACACGAATGAATTCAGAGCATTATCCTTTGGGTTAGCAAAGGGGTTTGCAACCTTAAACACTCAAAGAGTCATTTGGACCCATTTCCCACAGAAAAGAAAACACTGGGAGCCACAAAACGCTCCCCGTGCCTGACTATTTCTTAAGCGGCCACAAACTAGCATATGTAGTTGAATTAAATGCTCTGTTTTCTTCTGAAACTTTTTTTTCTTGGATTTAATCCATGGTTGGCCTTCCGGGGGTTGAAAAGCTCATTCAAAAATTGCATGCTGGCGGGTGCCGCACATTGGAGGTTGTGACGCATATTTTGAGTGACAGGGAGCCACAGCAGAGGGATGAAAGAGCCACATGCAGCTCCAGACCTGCAGATTGCTGACCCCTGGTTTAGCACCATCAAAGCTGTTTATCCCAGTCTCTTCCATTGCTTCCCAACCATCCTCCTATTAGTTATGGACAGAGAGCTAGCAAAATATTGCTTCCGCCACATCAGTCCCTGCCACTTCTGTTTATCTTGAAAAAAGTGATTTAGCGTGTAATCCTATCTGCAGGTAGCTGTGAATAAGTCTCCTGAATGCTTTGAATGGATTTCTCAGCAGTTAGAGAAGTCCTATGGAGAAAGGGCGGCATATAAGCTATATTAAATAAGTTATGAAGCCAATTCCACAGGCTAAGATTAAAGCGAAGTATTTACCAGGTGTCTGTCTTGGAAGTGAAGATGCCTTCCAGGAAAGCTTCTGGAGGCATCCACTTGACCGGAAGCATGGCTCGCCCACCTTTGCGATAATAGCTTGCCCTGACCAAGTAGAAAAAGAAGATGCTTTGTAAGGCAGCAAAAAGATCCATTCTTTCCTTCTTCCCTGCATTTTCACTGCAAGACTGCAAGACTGCATTTCACACAAGTAGCAATAGCATTAGCACTTAGACTGCTATACTGCTTTACGGTGCTTTACAGCCCTCTCTAAGCGGTTTACAGAGTCAGCATATTGCCCCCAACAATCTGGGTCCTCATTTTACCCACCTCGGAAGGCTGGAAGGCTGAGTCAACCTTGAGCTTGGTGAGATTTGAACTGGCAGTCAGCAGAAGTAGCCTGCAGTACTGCACTCTAACCACTGTGCCACCGTGGCTCTGTAAGTAAGTCTGAACATCTGTTCCTAAAATGAAACATTCACTAGCATCAATAAATAAAATGCCCATCATTCCATCTTCCTTCTTATCATGGATTGCTCCTAGATAATGTCTCTACTGCTGCATAATCAAGGAAAAGTGCTGTGGATTGCTCTCTCAATTTAATATTGTTAAACGTGGATACATTTTCTTCACATTGAAATAAACTTTTAGCCATCCCACTTCCCTTCTCCTTACCTGTAGATATCTCGGGCCATTCCGAAGTCACCGATTTTGGCTACTCGCCCAGAACCAGAACAGGTCAAAAGGCAATTCCTTGCAGCTATATCCCTTTTTAAAAAAGTCACGAGTGTACAAAGTGGAAGTTAGTAATATTAAAACAATTAAGTATTAGATACTTCTCACTTTTGCAAGAACAGCTCTGTTGTTCTAACACTTTATTACATTCAAACAGTCAAATACTGTTTCCCCTGTATAGCATGTTTCATAGGGTACAAAATCCACCACAGAAACATAGTTTGCAATGAGTCCAGCCTCAGCACCTATCCAATCTTCCTGATGCCAAAAAAAAAATCTAAACAGGATTGGACTTAGTTAGTACAAGGCGAACCACCTCCACACTGTTGCTGAGAAAACTACATACTGCTGAAGGGTCCTTGCTATTCTCTGAGCTTGGTTGTTTTACTAGGTAACATCAGCAGCACTGATGATGTTATCTAGTTTGGTAATTAAATGTCTTCCAGAAAACAACCAAACTCAGAGAATACCAAGGACCCCTCATTTCAACGCTGGGCTACAAATATTCTCCTTTATTGGTACATGCTGTTGAGCTTGACCCAAGAAAAGCATTTTTTAATGTGACATCTGAGGAAAATTACTAGATACCAGAAATGTGCAAAATGTTTCTGAAGGTTTTGGAGGGTTGTGGAACCCCCAGTTTTGAAGACTCCTTTTAGCTTTCAAGAGGAAGCACATGCCCCTCTTTAAACAACTGATGCAATTGCTTATGCTCACTTTTAGTCCCTCGTTAATTTAGTCACTGCTTTAAGTACATGGACAAATTTTGGTTCCCTACCATTTGCAATGTTCTCAAATTTCCTTGGGAAAATTGGAAGTAAGTCAGAAAACAGAGCCTGAAGCATTCCTTATATGGCATCTCTGAATTTTCTACCATAATTTAATTTTACTACTCAATTTATTTAGCATTTTATTTATCATACATTAAAAATATATGGATAGCTCACATTGGAATTGCCAGTCAAACAGTGTAATAATGCATCAAACCAGGTTTGGATCAGTTTTTTTAAAGTGATGAATAATTCAGAATCTTCCTTCTCCCCCATGGGTGATCTACTGAAACCATCTGAATTAATAGAAAAAACAAATTTCACCATGAGCATTTTTGTTTTTAAAGAAGCTTAACAAATGCTCATTTTCTAAAGTTATATTGAAAAGGAAATTGAAAAGAAGGAAAACGGGAATTATATGAAATTGTTTCACTTCATCACAAGTCTGACTCCTGCTTATGACAGATGCCCCAGGAAATGGAGAGGAAAGCTTGCTCCTTTTTTTGCTATCCTGTGGTAAAACAGTGGTGGGTTTCCAATTTTTTTACTGCTGGTTCTGTGGGTGTGGCTTGGTGGGCATAGCTTGGTGGGTGTGGCAGGGAAAGGATATTGTAAAATCTCCATTCCCTCCCCAATCCAGGGGAAGGTTACTGCAAAATCCCCATTTCCTCCTGATCAGATGCGTCTTGGGAGGCAGAGAATAGATGGGGGTGGGGCCAGTCAGAATTTTTACTACTGGTTCTCCGAACTACTCAAAATTTCTGCTACTGGTTCTCCAGAACTGGTCAGAACTTGCTGAAACATGACACTGAAAAAGGACACAAAGTGCAGTCTAACAATGTTTCTAAACAAGCTTTGCTAATTGTAAGTTTTGGGAGGCTAACATCTTCTATAAGGCCCCACATTGCAGAAAGCTATCATCTCCAAATACAGGAGTGTAGTCAATTCAGTATTAGCATCTTTATCATATTTATAGACAGCCCCTTTATAGCTGCACTATTGAGATGTGGCTCACACTTTGCACATTGCTGATAGCTAGTAATTTCCCTCAGTTGTCACATGTTTTCTCAGCAGTAATAATGCAAGTGGTTTGCCTTGCACTACATCCAATCCTGCTTAGCTTTTTGGGAAACAGGCAAGGTGGAAGGAAGAGATGCCATTTTAATCTTCTGATGCAACACTGCCATCTAGTGGAAACTGGAATATTGAAGATAGTATCTAGCGGAGATAGATGATAGATAGATAGATAGATAGATACCAAATTTATATTTGCTGATAAAGAAATAAATGGAGACTAGTATAGATCTATTTCAAGCTATTTAGCTTTCAACAGCTAGCCATACCCTTACTTGGATTCGAACTCGAGAAAGGGTATGGCTAACTGATGAGAGCTAAATAGCTTGAAATAGATCTATACTAGTCTCCCTTTATTTCTTTATCAGCAAATATAAATTTAGTATGAAATGGTTGAAATGGTGAAATATGTATATATATAACACCGCTTAGGGGGGCCCAAAAGCCCTACTAAGCAGGTATATACAAAAGTATGAAGGCTATTGCTTAACGCATTGTAAGCCGCCCTGAGTCTCTGGAGAAGGACGGCATATAAATTGAATATATATATATATATTATATATATATATATATATATATTATATATATATATATATGTATATATGTATATATGTATATATGTATATATATGTATATATGTATATATGTATATATGTATATATGTATATATGTATATATGTATATATGTATATATGTATATATATGTATATGTATTGTCCTAAAGATGCGAGTTCCAGGTATAGTTATAGAAGAGGCGATAGACATCACGATCTCCGGAACGTTTAAAAGTTTAAAAATTTTTATTTTAAAAATCATCAAATAAAATATTTTAAATTTGTAAATGTTCCGGAGATCGTGATGTCTATCGCCTCTTCTATATATGTATGTATGTATATATGTATTTGCTCCTGGAAGCACGAAGCCGAGAACACCAGCCTGAAGATGACAAATGAGACTTCGTCGAAACGTCGCCAAGACACTTCCAATTTTATGTGGGAGAAGACCCGAATAACCAAAGACCTATATGTATATATGTATATAATTTACTGTATAAATCATTGCTTTATATTGGATATGTTGTAATATTATATATTTAAAATATTGCTCTTGGACAGCAAATAAAAAAATATAGACCACACTGTGATTACATACTTGAAATAGTACCAAGTAAGGCTGCTGCAGGTAGCTGCTGTTAATCTCAGAAAATCTCAAAGCAGAATTCTGCGAACCTTAGAAAGTCATGATTCTTTCCAATATCCATGGAACGAGTTTTTATCTGTTTTGAAACAGATCTGCCAGATAACACCCTGGATGTCTCCAAAAGTACCCACTCTAATATTAGTACACATTATACAGCTTTTCCATCTTATTGTGTTTGTGTAAAAAAAGCAACAGATGAAGTGTAGGAAGGCATTGGACGATTACTAACGAAGGAACTCCTCAGTGAAACCGCACAATATCAGCACAATCAGCCAATGCTCTAATCACAAGTTTCCATAGTTCTATCATAAGAAATTGGAAGCACAAGTTGTCTATGGAGATTCTTAGTCATCCAGGTCATGGCTGTCCCAAAGGTGCTTTGTCAGTCAGAACTGAAGAAGCTTCCTGGATGAAAAGTCTTCAAGCAAAAACAAAGAAAGTCCAGTTACCTCTTGAAAAAGTATCTTTGGGACAAACACGGATTTTTTTGTTCCAAGTGACATAACATGAGAAATGTAACCTTATGTAGGACCATCAATTAAAAAAGAAGAAGAACCCAACATAGAAAAAGCATGTCTCAATCATTATGTGGAAGAACTTTACTTACCGGTGAATGAAATGGTTCTCCTCAAGATATTTGCAACCACAAGCAATGTCCCTGGCAATATTTAGCAAATCCAGCATCGTCAAAGCAGATGGCTGATTCTGTATGGCATGCCATTGAGAGAGACAACGAGGAAGGCAAAGAAAATTACATTCAGAGAGTCCTTGTTTAGCAACCGCCTCGTTTAGTGACCACTCACAATTACAATGATCATGAAAAAGTTAATTTCACAACCAATCCTTGAATGGACGACCTTCGCGGGTCATAAATATAAAGCAAAAGTTAGTTGAAGTAAGATCCTAAGCACAATGGCAGTGTTACTTAGCCACCACTTTGTTTAATGACTGAGTTTAACAGATTAGCAGAGTTGGAAGGGACCTCATCGAGTCCAAACCCAAGGAGGAGACCCTTCATCTGCCTTTACCTAGGATCAAACTCACAACCTCCTGATTGTGAGGCAAGAGCTCCACCTCTAGGCCATTGGGTCCTGGTTGCCAGTTATGGTTGCTAAATGAGGTTTACTTGCCAGTCAAGGTAGAAGTGAGAGAAAACTATTCACAATGTTTAATTGTGCCCAGGAGCGGTTTGAAGTGTCACCCTCTCCGGCTTCAGAAATTGAAAAGAGATAGGGAAATATTGACCTTGCTTGCAAATGTCAGGTACAATGATCCATTTCAGCTCAGAATTGATGTCCCTTTCAGATGGAAGTATAGTTTGTTTCTCTCCAATTAGAAAGAACAAATAAAAATAGAGGGAACAGAACCAAATTAAAAGTGGAAAATCTCTTTCTCTCCCTCTCTCTCCCTCGCTGGGCCTTCTGCCCTGCCAGCACAAGCCAAGAAAGATGGTGCTTTCCAGAAAAAATAAACATATCTTCTGTTATTTTTCTGAAGCACTACATGCTTATTATACATATACACCATATCCTGGGGTGTGCGTTTCAAGTAAGAGGGAAATGTGACTTTTGAAGGTTTTCTTTTTTGGCTCTGAGTGTCTAATGCCAATCCCACAAACTTTGTTATGCGTGTAGAAACTCAGCTAGGATTGTGCAGCATGCCAACCCATGACATGAGATAATTTTAGAACAACGTGACAATCTTTTTGATGATTAGGGGAAAAAAAGGTTATAGAGAGAAGGGAATTATGAAAAACACACATAAACCCTACGAAGAAGTAAGAATATATATATATATATATACACACACACATACATAGACACACATATACATACATACATACTTCATGTTTCCTGGTTTTTATATTCTTTTTCCTATTTTTTCTGTTTGTCTTTTCTTTCTCTCTTTCTCATATTTACTTTACTATTTTTTTTCTTTCTTTGAATGTATTTCTTATATAAAATTATATACAGTATCTATCTCTATCTCTATCTCTTTTTTAAAAAAACAACAGTATGTAAATCTTTATACATAAGAGGGTGAAGGATGCAAGTACTCAAGAGTTACTGTGCAGCAAGATAGGAGTTAATACATTTTAGAAATAAATAAAAGACAAATGTAGAATTGAAGCACCTTTTTATTAGAGATGTCCCAACCCTTGCTCTATGCCACACTTGAAACCTGGCCAGGCAAATTTCAGAAAGAGCGACCCACACTTCCAAATTCAACTGGGTTTTTGTAATACGTGTATAAAATACCATACATACTTCCAAAATTGGGTTAACCCAATGTGTGGATAAGACGAACCCAATTTTGGAAGTGAATTTTGAGGGATCCCTGGTGTTCTCCTAGCTTGGTGGTTTTCTTGAAGATGCTTCATTATCCAAACTAGGTAACATCATCAGTGCTAGTCAGTGCAGTGGTCTAGTACTGAGGAAGTTACCTAGCGTGGGTAATGAAGCATCTGCAAGAAAACAACCAAGCTCAGAGAGCACCAGGGACCCCTCATTTCAACACTGAGCTACAGATATTCTCCTTTATTAGGGTGTATTTTGGCAACTAAAATTTTTGGCTTATCCATGAGTGACTGCAACTGGGACTGGCAACTTTATTGTTAAATGACGCTGTCGCTAAGTGAAACCATGACTAAGCTTATCATCTTATATCAACTTCCTTCTGTTTTATAGGCCTACAAAGTGTAAAAATGTAAAGATTGGTCATAAAGTTATTTTTTCATCACCATCATAACTGCAAATGGCCACTAAACAAGACAGTCACTAAACCTGCATATATGGTAGCTACTTTATTCAAGCTGTGTAGTAATGTGAAAACAAATCCTGTTTCAACAACTCATTGGATGTCAGAGCAGGAGAAGGTTGGGAAAAGGAATTGCTGACTCACCTCCCGAGGCCGATTCTGCCGTAGGAAGCTCTTCATGTCTCCTCCGGTCATCAGTTCCAAAAGGATAAAACGAGGCAACGTTTGCAGGCTCACCCCAATGCACTGCACTATATTCTGGTGACTGAATTTACTTCAGATTAGCCACCATACAGCAGCAAAGCAAAGAAGGGAGAAAAAATGAAATTGGTCTTTGATAGCAACCAAGTTAATCTCTTGTTAAATTCTGATTAATTGCAATTTTATGCAGTGAGTGATTTTAGACCTCAGATGTCTACTGTCAGACTCCCCAAAGGCCTATAGACAATGATTTAATTATATTAGAGAGTTAATTTTGAGTAGGGTAGCTCCTTCTTACCACTTACCACATTGATTCTTGCATATGTTAAATTTCCCAGCTTTTTTTGTGTAATCCATGGAGTCCACCAACATTCCATTCTTAAAATAGCAATAGCACTTAGACTTATATACCGCTTCATAATGCTTTTACAGCCCTCTCTAAGCGGTTTACAGAGTCAGCATATTGCCCCCAACAATCTGGGTCTTCATTTTACCCACCTCGGAAGGATGGAAGGCTGAGTCAACCTTGAGCTGGTGAGATTTGAACTGCTGAACTGCAGCTACCAGTCAGCTGAAGTAGCCTGCAGTACTGCATTCTAACCACTGTGCCACCTCGGCTCTTATTTGGCAACAAATTATGGCAGTAGAGGTCGACTTTTTTCCGGACACATAACCAATCAAATGGGAGCACTAAAGCTGTGATAAACTTCGGACGCTTATTTTAATGAAATAAAATCCTAATTTTCAAAAAAGTAATTAGATGCAAAAAAATAGGTAACTGAATAGGTAACTACGTGCTTGACAGTATAACTTAGCTAAAAACCAATCTCATTCCTCATTGCAGAATAGCACAGTGGTTATGCTATTTGCACTACAGAGACTCAGGTTAAACCCCCTTCAACCATGGAACTCAATGGTTGATTTTGGGCTAATCCCATTCTCTCAGTTCACTTTTCCCCTCAAGGTTACTATGGGGACAAAATCAGGGATGATTACCATGTAAATCACTTTGATTTATCGAAGATACTGTTACTATGAATACGATCAGTAAATTAGACCAAAAAAAATAATGTTGCTGAAATTGAAATGGAACAATCTCTGCCAAAACCACTAGATTTAAGCTTCTCCCAATTGCCATGATGTTGATAGCTTGTTAGCACACTCCAGCTTCCCATGTCCCCAGGTTGATAACAGGAAAAGCAGATATGCTTTCCATACTTAGATGGAAAATGTTTATATCATCACATTCTTAAAAATAATGATTCCAAGATGGATGCCATCTGTACATATCTATAATTAGATTTCCCAGTGAAGAAATGCTGATGTGAGTACAGAAAGCATAAATTATCAGTATGATTTGGTCTCTCATAACAAGCCATAGTGTTAAATTGCTAGTAAACCTCTTATTGAGAAATAATACCATTGGGGAAAGAACAGGACTTAACACTCTTTGAAATTCAACCAAACTTTAAAATAATTTTTTAGAGATAGCCCTTTCCTTGAGTGTAAATAAATTTGCAGATGGAACCACATCGGCTATAGTATATTTAACTTATCCATGGCAAAACAATCATTTTATGACATTAAATGACACACATAAACAGAAAGTTCTGGGCAACCAACTCATTGTTGCTGTTTGGACAATCAATGTATTTAATGTTTTGTTTGTTTTGGCCTTCAGACCAGGATTCTTATGAATTCTGGGTGTGGAGAAGCTTAATTACTTTTCCTGTGTTGTAAAAAGTAAAAACATAACTTTCCCTCAAATGAGGCTTGAAATATAAATACTTATAATTCAATTATTTAAATAATTGAAGTATAATTTATAATTAATCAAAACAACTCTCCCTGCTTCTTGTTCCAAAAGGATTAAATTATTTTTCTGAAGTTCTCTTCTACAAAGAGGCAATAGTTATCCAACTGAAAGGATATCCGTGAATATATAACTATCTCATACATTTATCAATAATTGGAATTGTGACTCAACTGAACTGTTTTGTTGGTTATTTCCTCATCTTTGAATTTTCTAACTTGAAGAGTTACATGCAGCCCAATATGCAAGCCATGCTGGGGTTGAGTCCAGATTTTTCACTCTCCCTTTGGGAGCATCCCTGGCAAGCATCTTTTTGGGTTATTGCTAGATTATTTGCAGGAAATAGGAATGGCAAACGTTACTACCTCTTCCACAGTTCAGGCAATAGATATCATCCCAGTTTGCTGAGATGGATACATCAACTTTGATTAAAGAAAAGTCACAAGCTATATTTATTGGTGACAAGAAGCTTCTAATAGAGGTTTTTTTTTTGCATGAAAAAATAAACTTGTGATTTATGCTTTGTCGATTAGACAGGATAGATTATAGAAAGAGAAGTATTATTGTGTAACTTTAGAAAGCTTAAAATATAATTGTAGCTATAATTGCTGTGAGGAATACTGGGAGCTGCTTCTTAATATCTTTTTTTCCCTATTTTTCTTTTTTTCTTCTCTTGCCCTTGCTTTCTCTTTGCTTCTCCTTTTATTCCTTACTTTATATTAGTTTTTATTACTGTAGTTTGGGCATGCGAACAATTGTTTGTATGGGATTTTAATTCAAAAAATTAATTGAAAATGCATCCCAGCCACAGAAGTTGCTTCTTGATGGAAGGAGTCCTCTTCATCACATCAGCTTTTAATGTATCCAATCCATAGAGCTTTTCAAGATTATAGGAGGTCAGCTCAGTTATCAACTATAATTGTGTCTTTAACTGAAGGAGTTAGCCTAAAAGGATTTCAGGAGAGTATGATTTAGCAAACGGGTGCAGAGACCTTAGGGTTGGTTGAATTTCCTCTTAGGCCTTGTGCACAATCTCCCCAACTTCAGCTTGAAGTTCTTGAAAGACACTTCATATGATGCAGCCTTTCCTCACCCTCAATCCTTAGCTAAGATGTTTTTTTCCCCTCAAAACGAAGCCTTCTTATCTGCAGGATGTATGGTGATTCAGCTGCAATTGAGCTGACCACGCAATACCAAATGGGATCTGCCCAGCTCCTATAAACTGTTTTCAGCTGCTGGGGGCACACCCCACCCCCTGCAGTCATCCACAGTGGGTAGGGGCTGACAAACAGGATGCCTGGTTTTATGACCCTTTGAAGTAATGTTTACTCTTCCCTCCCATATCCTCGGTGCAACGCGCGGGTTGGCAGATTGCACAGAGGAGCAACGCTTGTTGATGGGAGAGTATCCTTTTGTTTCAGCCAGTGCCACCCCCTGCGCAGTGTTTTAGCTTGTTACATTAGGGATCTGAGAAGACAGAGTATGACTGAAATCATACTTTTACCTCTCAGATAGCCAGCATTGCTGTGTCAATCTCCATCATCCCACCCTTATTATTCCTTATAATCCATCCATTATTCCTTGTCTGGCCCTCAGGTGCTTTGGGGTCAAGCTATTTTCCAAAGCACCTGAGGGCCAGACAAGGAATAATGGATGGAAACTGATCAAGGAGAGGCTTCCGGTTTGACTTCCGTCGCCACCAGACGGTCCTTTGAGACCGCCAGCCCCGTCGCTCGTAAAGAGCCGCCTTTACATCTGAAAGGCGGCTCGAAAAACTCCATTTCCATAAGGAAATGTGAGATAGAGCAGGCGAGGGCAGGCAGAGCCCTCTGCGAAGTCCCCAGAGTTTTTCTTTTACTCTTGGGGACGAAGCAGGATGAGGCTCCCTATTTCTCTCGCCGCTGCTCCGGGCTTCAGGAGACCTCTGCCTCTTGCAGAGCCAGGCGACGAGATCAAACCTTTTAATGAAAACAACAGATTGCTTAATTAAAGAGGATGAGATCTGGACTTGGGACCCTAAATTGCAAGTATTTTTAATGATTTTATAAGCGTTTCTAAGTGAAGGAAAAAAAAAAGCTTACAATGGCGACCGCTGAGGCTTGAGAAGTAGCCGAAAGTGAAAGTCCTTCCGTAACAAGTTACAAAGTAGCGGAGCAAACAGTGCTGGCTAGAATAGAGAAAAGAAAAAATTTCTATTCTAAGTTTCTTTTTTTTCTTGGAGATTTGATATTGATCTTGTTGGAGAGAAGTCCTCTTTCTTCAAAAAGAGTTTGTCTGTGTGGCAGGATGGCGTTAAAATTAACAAAGCCAGACAAACAAGCAGCAGGGGTTTTTTTCCCCCCCATTTACAATTATGTGAACAAGTTTCGAGTTTACAGACTCAGAAGACTGGTTTTAATTTAAAAGAATTTGTTTTGAAGGAAATGGCAAGACATGACGAGATTGTGAACCAGAATTTTGAAAAATTTAAGCAGGAAATTAAAGAATTCATACAATTAAAGTATGATAACTTACAAAGAAAGATTGTAACAGTGACTAATGCTTTTTCAGAAATAGTTATAAAGATGGATACAAATATCAAGTTATTAGAGTCTAAAATGGAGGAAGTTGATGATAAGATTTATAATTTGAACAATAAAATACAAAGAATGGAAAATGATTTGATAAATATTCAAGACAATAGCTCTGAAGTAAAGTCTAAAAAGGAAGCTGATCACGAGACTCACAATGCAGAAAATATAAAACAAGGGATTGAAAGAGAAGTTACAATGATGCAATACAGGCTCACAGAATTTGCGGTTAGAATGAGAGGGTTACAGGAAAATAATAGAGATAATTTAAGAAAAATATCTGCTGAAGTTCTGGCTGGGATTTTAAAGATTCATCCAGAGGAGGTATCTTGTAAGATCGACAAGGCCTATAGAGTAAATTCTTGGATTGCAAAGCAAAAGCAATTGCCTAGAGATGTGGTGATTTATTTTACAGATAAAGAAATAAAAAATGATATTGTGCAAAAATCTTTTAATTCCACTCTACAATTGTATGGAAGAAAGATCTGGATATATAAAGAGTTGCCGCCCAAGATATTAAAAGATAGAAAGAAATTTGGATTTTTGGTGACTGAGCTAAACAAACAAAACATCTCATTCAGGTGGGATGTCCCAGTTGGCATAATATTGAGATATCAAGGAGAAAGATACCAACTAAATTCTGTTGAAAAAGCGGAAGAATTTTACTATAAGGTTCTTAAAATGGGTTCA